AAATGTGTGATTAATACTGATACAAAAAGTAAGACATGTTAGCTCATGCTAGCCTGTTGTTTACTTAAATAATCCAACTTCTTTCTATGATCTTTCTCTCAAATCCATCAGAATTACCTTTATTTGAAAGCTACATAATAATAAGAATTAGAAAAAATATTGTAGTTGTACTAGTTTTTATGAGATTCAGTAAAAACTATATACAGTATTTTTCTTGTTTACATGATTATGGTCTTTTCATTTGTCCTGATGTGCAAAAACAATTAAACATCATAAAATTCACAATAGATTTTTTTAAATTTTATAGTGTCACCTCTACTGACCATAAAGGTTCCTGAAAAGGCCTCGAAAAGGCCCACAACCCACTAGTTGATAATCGTAGTTGTAGCTTGTTTTGCGACTCTGAACACATTTTATTAGTGAGACAAGTAGCAGAATTGGCTCTTTCGATCATAAAGGTTGCAGACCCCTGTTCTAGATGCTCCTCTGTTGTATTTAGCCCAGTGAAGAAGTAAAATCTGTGCAGGTGAGCTACAGTAAGCAGCTAAAGCTAAATGATATTACCATTAGGAGATTATTCCTTAAAGAATAAACTATACACTTCTATTAAAAACGTTAATCGTGACCCGACCCCGGATAAGCGGAAGAAAACGGACGTACAGACATGTTTATCAGGCCATAATATGGCACATGTTGTTCAAAGCTTCAAATGAGGTAGTTAAGAGAAATAAAATGACATATTTTCAGATTAATTTTCATTTAAGGTTAAAAAGTCTTTATAATTTAGTCTACCTGCTCTGGCCATGAGCTCCCTATGTCAATACTGAAACAAAATAAAATCTTCCTTCTTATATTGTCTATGAATAAATGTTATTTAAACTAAACCCAACACAAAACTGGTTGTGTAACTTTGGTTTTTACCCCTAGGTGTACTATACCAAGAAGAAGAGGCGGGCCCAGCAGGTCCCTCCTGAGGACAGCAGCACGAAGAAGGAGAAAAAAGTTTACAACGATGGCTATGATGATGACAACTATGATTACATTGTGAAAAACGGAGAAAAGTGGCTGGACCGCTATGAAATAGATTCACTGATTGGGAAGGGCTCTTTTGGACAGGTGAGCTGGAAACTGTCTGAAAACGACTGCTGGTTTGTGTCTGATACTTCTTATAATTTTAAATGGATGCAACTATAGAAAGAAATGTGTGCCTTGGCAAAGCAGACAGTTTTCATATATGTTCTATATTGTTACATAATGATTTTAGAACTATAGAACCAGAAAATAGAATGAAGAGCTCTCCTTTGTATCAACCAGAGGTGTTCTGTTCATGAAGCAAAAACAAAAAGCTCTGTAGCTGCAAAGACATGAGAGAAATTCTTCTCCTCTCATCTCTCCTGAACCTCTTAGCCTTAAACAGACTAAAATCTAAAACCTCTGCTGCACAACTCATAAACCACCGTATACCAGCGGTTACTGTCACTGTCAGTAAACATTTTAAAAACAGAGGAGGAAAAAACTAGAGGTGTCCCGATACCGATACCAGTATCGGAATCGGATCCGACACCAGCATCAAGTACTCGTACTCGTACTCGTACTCGTAAAAGCCAGCCGATACTCTTAACCGATACCACTTTTGTCCCCTCCTGTGCTGCGCTGCACAAAGGGTAAACAACAATCCATACCAGGCGGGGGCGCTAATGCAC